CTTTCCCCACACTACAGTTTAGTGTCGTGGTTAAGTGCGCGGACTCTAATCTGGGAGAGCCGGGTTTGATTCCCCGCTCCTCCACTTGCAGCTGATGGATGACCTTGGGCAAGCCATCGTTCTGTCAGAGCTGTTCTTGAAAGAGAGCCATTTCTGTCAGAGCTCTCTCAGCCCCGCCCACCTCACAGGGTGTCTGTTGTGAGGAGGGGGAAGGGAAAGGAGTTTGTAAGCCGCTCTGAGACTCCAAGTGAAGGACGGGGTATAAATCCAATCTCCTCCTCCTCCTCCTCTTCTTCTACTAGTATTGCCACCCACACCACTGGGCAGGAGATCGGTCCGGTTCCTTCCCCTTCTCCTCCAGCTAGGAAAAAAACTGAGACCGCTGTCGGTTGTCTGTGCTCCTGTGGAGCCATCTGGCTCTCTCTCTCCCTCCCCTGCTGCCTTTGTGTGTGGTGACTCATTCTGCACGTGGTGGTGACTGGGAAAGGGAGAGCCGTTTCATTGGTGCCAAATTTGGGAGAAACAAGCCCCACGGTTTGCTCTTTGGAGTCAGCTTCAGCAGGGAGAGGCAGCGGCGGGTGTAGCCGTTCTGTTTTTTTAAGAGCTTTTCTTCCGGCACTTCCAAGGGGAGGCTGAACGGCCCATGTGCTCAATGGCACGACGGCCCGTTCCACGGCAGCCGCCGTTTTTTGGTTGCTGGCCAGCCACAGCTGAGCTTCTGTGTGGGCATGACACCGCCTGTTCCAAAAACAGCAGTCACGCATCTTCGTCATGTTGCATAACACACAACAGTGGTGTCTGGAAAGTTCCCATTGCCAAATATAGCTCCCCAGCTGGGAACTTTCCAATCTGCATGGTCGCTTAGGCAGCTGTAGGGACACAAGTCTGGTTTTGATTGGTAACTTTAAAAGAAACCACCGTCTACTGTCCGCAACACTCACACAGCGTTGATACATGCAGTTCAACAACTCGATTGTTTCCTCTGCAAAGATTTCAAGTTCTGTGAAACTGCCGGGCATGGGTCATGGAGTTCCACAGTGCTTTGAGTCAACGTTTCCAGCTACAAATTGAGCAGGCCTATTTGCGTCGGAACCTCGGCCTTAGCAGGCAAAGATAGATAGAGATGCGGGTGGGTAGAGCAGCCCCCTCTAGCTGCAAAGTGGTCTTGCCACCCTATGTGCCGGCTTCAGTTTGGTACCACACATTTGGGGATGGTTACATGCTGGATCAAACCAATGGTCCATCCAGTCCAGCATCCTGTCTCACACAGGGGCCAGCCAGTTCCTCTGGAGGGCCAGCAACAGGGCAGAGAGGCCGAGGCCTTCCCCTGAGAAGAACATCAGAAGAGCCCTGCTGGGTCAGACCGGTGAGGGTCCATCCAGTCCAGCCTCCTGTCTCACACAGTGGCCAAGCAGTTCCTCTGGAGGTCCCACAACAGGGCAGAGAGGCCAAGGCCTTTCCCCTAAGAAGAACATCAGAAGAGCCCTGCTGGGTCAGACCAGTGAGGGTCCTTCTAGTCCAGCCTCCTGCCTCACACAGGGGCCAACCAGTTCCTCTGGAGGGCCAACAACAGGGCAGAGAGGCCGAAGCCTTCCCCTGAGAAGAACATCAGAAGAGCCCTGCTGGGTCAGACCAGGGAGGGTCCATCCAGTCCAGCCTCCCGTCTCACACAGGGGCCAACCAGTTCCTCTGGAGGGCGACAATAGGGCACAGAGGCCGAGGCCTTCCCCGGATGTTGCTTCCTGGTTCTGGGATCCAGAGAATTAGTGCCTCTGGATGTGGAGGCTACCCTCAGTTATCATGGCTAGTAGCCATTGATAGACTTATCCTCCATGAATCTATCTCATCCACTTTTAAAGCTTTCTGTTTCTGTGTCCATCACTCCATCCTCTGGCGGCGAATGCCACATTTGAACCACTCTCTGCGTAAAGTAGTGGTTCTCAGGCCGGACTTATTTTATTTTACTGAGCTGGTTTATTTTTATCTCCGTTTTCTCCCCTGCTGGGACCCAAAGTGGCTTACGAGAAATACAGTACAATCGAAACAGATTTGAATAAAACACAGTACAGAAGCAAACAGGAAACAAAAGTAAAAGGCATCCCGGGCTGGTGTCCCTAAGCTTACTCCATCAAGGCCGGGAGTGAAGGGCCCGTAGGCTGTGGCCCTTCGGATCGTGGCCCTCCCCTGGGCTTTCGAGATCCACAGCAAGAGTTAGAGAAATGCTCTGCCTGGGTCTTACAAGCCAGCCGCTCTCTCCCCCAAATCCCCCTCTTGCTGAATTCTGAGTTCTATGAAAGACACGTTAGAAGCAAGAGCTCTGGAGACACACACACACACACACTTCCTGGGTCATCACCCTCACTGCGGGGGGCGGGGGGGGGCAAAGGCCCTCCGCAGGAGGTTGGGGAGGGTTCCTCAACCAGAAGACCCAGTAAGCGCAGAGCTACGCAGCTGAGCACCGTGGAAGGACACTGTTCCTTTCGCCTTCCTTTTGCACAAGAACAGAAGAAGAATCGTAGCATTTTCGGGGCAGATTAAACGTTTTGCAGGAACAAACATCCACCCTGGTTGAGGGTGGCATTTTGTCATGAAACAGGCAGAATGTCTCAAGACACCTTTAACAATTGCTCTTTAAGAAACCTTTAACAATTGCTCTTTAAGAAACCTTTAACAATTGCTCTTTAAGAACTTTAAGGCCAATGGCCCGTCCAGTCCAACACTCTGTGTCACACAGTGGCCAAAAAATACCCGGGGCCATCTGGAGGCCCAGCAGTGGGGCCAGGACACTAGGAGCCCCACCCAATGTTGCCCCCTCCCAAGCACCAAGAAGACAGAGCATCACCTGCCCCAGCCTGTGAGTTCCTATCTGTACCTTGTGGCTAATAGCCATTGATGGACCTCTGCTCTTAACATAAGAACATAAGAGAAGCCAATGTTGGATCAGGCCAATGGCCCATCCAGTCCAACACTCTGTGTCACACAGTGGCCAGAAATACCAGGGGCCCTCAGGGGGTCCACCAGTGGGGCCAGGACACTAGAAGCCCTCCCACTGTTGATCTCCCCTCCCCCAAGCACCAAGAAGACAGAGCATCCCTTGCCCCAGCCTGAGAGTTCCTATTTATACCTTGTGGCTAAGAGCCACTGATAGACGTCTGCTCCATATGCTTATCTTTCCTTGTGTGTGTTTGTTTCATGGTTTTGATCAGCGGACCCAGATAGCCGTGGGGGCAGTAAGTGGGATATGCTCACTTGTGGATCCTGATTGGCAAGGAGTAAGGCTTAACCCGCAGGAAGTGTGGGCAGGAGGAGGCAGAAGGAGGGTTGGCAGTTATTCTGGGAGGGGGCGGTGCCGGACCCAGGAAGGGCTCGTCCAGGTTCCCGGAAGGCATTCCCAAGGGAAAGGCTTCTCGATTGCAGTCGGGACAGCTGGTCTGGTCTGTGTTTGAGTGGAGGACGGAGTGGAGAGCTGGATGTGTGCCCGTGGACCCCTCATCCAGCCGATGAGCCGTCTCCCCAGAGATATTCCAGCTGCTTGTTGTGAGTAATGGATACGCAGAAGAGCTCCGGGATCAGCGGTCGGAGGGCCCTGCCTGCGGAAAGGCAACACTGAGGTGATAAATTATTCACCGAGATCTCTCATCTGGGCTCCAGTTGCCGCGCAGGGAGTGGGCGAAGGTGCTCGTTGCGGTGGCTGACGGGCGCTTGTGTTGCATTTCAGGTTACTGTGGAGGAGGAGAGCTATCTCGCCCACCCAACCCGCGACAGGGCAAAGATCCAGCACTCCAGGCGACCCCCGACCCGGGGCCACTTGATGGCTGTGGTAGGTACCGCAGGCGCTAGAGTCCCGTGCTGACGCCTCCCACCCAACACTCCGGCCTTCGGGAAACCGAGTGTCGCCGGGGATTTGTCGTAAGGAGCCAAGCTTTGTGCTGTCTGCCATTGGGGAGAGAGCCTGTGTGCTAAATTTGGCTCTGACCCATCAGAACTCCAGCCCTTCTCTGCCATGTGGCCTGCTTTTCACTTTGGGAGGCCTCTTGTGAGCCAGTCTGGTTCCGTGGTTGAGTGTGCGGACTCTAATCTGGGAGAACCGGGTTTCATTCCCCCACTCCTCCACTTGCACCTGGCTGGATGACCTTGGGCCAGTCACAAGTTCTCCCGGAGCTGTTCTTGAAAAAGAGCCGTTTCTGTCAAGAGCTCTCTCAGCCCCACCTGCCTCACAGGGTGTCTGTTGTGGGGAGGGGAAGGGAAAGTTTGTAAGCCGCTCTGAGACACCTTTGGGTAGTGAACGGAGGGGTATAAATCCAGTCTCCTTCTTCTTCTTGTGTCTGACTTCACAGGCCTCCCTGTTGTGGTCGCTCTGGTTATTTCACTCTATTTCTGTTTAGACCATCATTTTTGCCATTACAGTCAAGGCAGCATACACTTCAGAATAATATCTACAGTTCGGGTGGCCGACTCTGGGCTGAGGAAGACTTGGGAGTTTTTGAGGGTGGAGCCTGAGGGGGGAGGGGAGGGGCTTCAGTGGGGCATAAGCGAAGCCAGTTTGGTGTAGTGGCTCTGATTCCCCGCTCCTCCACATGAAGCCAGCTGGGTGACCTTGGGTCAGTCACAAGTTCTCTCAGAGCTGCTCTCAGGAGCAGTTCTGTCTAGAGAAGAAGAAGAAGAAGAGATTGGATTTATACCCCGCCCTTCACAACCCAAAAGAGTCTCAGAGCGGCTCACAACACCGCTTTCCCTTCCCCCCCCCACAACAGACACCCTGTGAGGTTGGCGGGGCTGAGAGAGCTGTGACAGAAACAGCTCTTTTTCAAGAACAGCTCTTATCAGAACTACGGCTTGCCCAAGGTCATCCAGCCAGGTGCAAGTGGAGGAGTGGGGGAATGAAACCCGGTTCTCCCAGATTAGAGTCCGCACACTCAACCACGGAACCAGACTGGCTCACAAGAGGCCTCCCAAAGTGAAAAGCAGGGGCTGAGAGAGCTCTTGACAGAAACGGCTCTTTTTCAAGGACAGCTCTTATCAGAACTACGGCTTGCCCAAGGCCATCCAGCCAGGTGCAAGTGGAGGAGTGGGGAATCAAACCTGGTTCTCCCAGATTAGAGTCTGCGCACTTAACCACGACACTGAACTGACTCTCTCAGCCCCACCGACCTCACCGGGTGTCTGTTGTGGGGAGGGGAAGGGAAAGGAGATTGTGAGCCGCTCTGAGACTCCCGAGTGAAGGGCAGGGGGTATAAACCCAATCTCTCGTCTCTCTTCTCCATAACGCCATAGAGTCCGCCTTCCAAAGTGGCTGTTTTCAGTCAGTGAACTGATCTCTCCTGCCTGGAAATCTCCAGCCTCCACCTGGAGGTTGGCGACTTTACCTACAGTATGATTCACGTGATGTAAAAGGGAGATGGGAGTATTTTATTTTATTTTTTGCTGTTTGGTCACTGCAATATGGCCGCGGAGGCAGAGGCATGGGGGGGGGGGTTTGAACGCGCCCATTCCTGCGGCATCCATAGCTTATTCCTCCACAGGCAGCCCGGGGTGGCCGCCATGTTGTTTCTCTACATTTTAACCTCCTGACAACACTTGGAGGTGGGGCTAAATGGAGAGGTCGTGATGTCAGTTTCACGGTTTGGGTGGGGATTGGAACGCTGGTCTCTACACTGTCCGCCACGCCCCTGTAACCAGTGTTCCCTCTAAGCTGTGGAGTCTTGTGAGCAAAAATTCTATTTTCTGAGCTACCGGCATTAGGGTTGTGAGCGAGCGATTCGGCTACTGCATAAATTTAGTTTGCTCTGGGGCAGGGCTCTTTTTGTAGAAAAAGCCCAGCAAGAACTCATTAGCATAATAGGACACACCCTATAGCATAAACTCATTACCATATTAGGCCGCACCCCTGACAGCACAGCTCATTCGCATATTAGGCCACACACCCACGTTACCAGAAGTGCGGTCATCCAGCCACACCCACCTTTTACTTCTTATTCTGTTTACTTTGTTTGTTGTCAAAACCCAGAGTTTTTTCTTTGTAGCAGGGACTCCTTTGCATGTTAGGCCACACACCCCTAATGCAGCCAACCCTAATGAGTTTCTGCTGTTGGGTGTGGCCTATTATGCTAATGAGTTCCTGCTGGGCGTGACCAACTCAGGAGCCAGCCGGAACTCCGTCCCTGTGCGTTCCTGCCCAAAAATAGCCCTGCTCTGGAGCCGTCCTTCCTGAGCTATGACAAAAAGGTGTGAGCCAGAGGCTAAAAAACTGTGAGCTAGCTCACACTCACTCAGCTTAGAGGGAACACTGACTGTAACCGTTTGAAATGTGGTCCTCCTCCCGTCAGATCCAACATCAAGCGGGCCAGAATTCTTCTTCACTTGGTTCTTGGTATCTCCTTGTATCTCTGCCGCTGGATGGACGTGATGGAAGGACAACCGGAGTTGAGTCCCGGAATGCCTTAGAGAACCACAGGGCTCTTCCTTTTTTCGGGGGCTCTCCGCTTCTAGGCATCTACCTCAACGTCTGACGGGATGCTGACCCTTGACTTGATCCAGGAAGAGGACGCCTCCCCGGAGGACCCCGCCACTTGCGAGGACAACTTCCGGGTGGATCTGGACAAGACGGTCGCCCACCTCGCCGCGGGACGGAGGTGTTCGGATCCCGAGAGCGCCAAGCCGCCGGAGAGGGGCCGGACGAACAGCCTCCCGAGGCGAGAGGCCATCTCTTGGGACCGGTCCTCGCCGCGGGAGGATCCCTTCGACAGAGGGACCGTGTACACGCCTCAGGCACCGAAGAAGCTCTCCCACGCGGAGAAGAACAAGTGCGCCTCCATGGAAGAGATCCTCTCGTGCCGGGATTCCTGCTCGGTGCACCGGGCGGTCCTGCGGAAGGGCCTCGGGGACCACTTTGCCGCCGCCGAGCCGGAGCGGCTGAGCCGGATCCAGGAACTTGTCGCGCTGAAACTTGAAAAGACACAGGAACTCTTGGCGGAGGTGAAGGGCTACGGGGAAGGCAGGCGGAAGGCGAAGGAGCTGGGCACCTCCTCCCCTTCCTCCTCCTCCTCCCCCGCCAAGCTGGACTCGGAGGCTGTCCTGCAGGAGACGGAGCGGCTGCTGGGGGAGGCCACGTCCCACTGGAGCCAAGCCCAGCGGGTGCTGACCGAGGTCCGGGAGCTCCGGAACCTCTACAGGCAGCTGGAGCTGCAGGTCTCCGAGCTGAAGCCCCGACAGGCCGCGCAGCAGTCGCAGTACAGGAAGAGCCTGATGTGAAGGCAAGGGGGGGCCCCTGGGCGGCGGGGAGGGGGGGTGTCAAGGGGATTGCTACCAATCTCTATTTTTCTTGACAGTGCTTGAAGCGTTCAGGTGCCTGCTCTTGCCCCGCCCCCGACAAGCCCCATTCTGCCCCTGTGACACCCCTTCCGACACCCCTCCCTCCCGCCCGCCCATCTCCAGACGAACACATTGAAATAAATGTGACTGCACTCATGCTTTTTATTTATTTGGGAAACAGACGCTCCCCCGTCGATGCGACTTCTGTAAAAAGGGCACCAAGTCAGGTGTCGTGCAGGTGGCCTTTCGAAAATAAGGACTAGTGGATGTTGGGTCTTGTGCGTGTTTGTTGGGGGGGGTGTTGTTGTAGCACACAGAATGTTGTAAGAACATCAGAAGAGCCCTGTTGGATCAGACCAGTGAGGGTCCATCCAGTCCAGCATCCTGTCTCGCACAGGGGCCAACCAGTTCCTCTGGAGGGCCAACAACAGGGCAGGGAGACCGAGGCCTTCCCCTGAGGAGAACCCCAGAAGAGCCCTGCTGGGTCAGACCAGGGAGGGTCCATCCAGTCCAGCATCCTGTCTCGCACAGGGGCCAACCAGTTCCTCTGGAGGGCCAACAACAGGGCAGGGAGACCGAGGCCTTCCCCTGAGGAGAACCCCAGAAGAGCCCTGCTGGGTCAGACCAGGGAGGGTCCATCCAGTCCAGCATCCTGTCTCGCACAGGGGCCAACCAGTTCCTCTGGAGGGCCAACAACAGGGCAGGGAGACCGAGGCCTTCCCCTGAGGAGAACCCCAGAAGAGCCCTGCTGGGTCAGACCAGGGAGGGTCCATCCAGTCCAGCATCCTGTCTCGCACAGGGGCCAACCAGTTCCTCTGGAGGGCCAACAACAGGGCAGGGAGACCGAGGCCTTCCCCTGAGGAGAACCCCAGAAGAGCCCTGCTGGGTCAGACCAGGGAGGGTCCATCCAGTCCAGCATCCTGTCTCGCACAGGGGCCAACCAGTTCCTCTGGAGGGCCAACAACAGGGCAGGGAGACCGAGGCCTTCCCCTGAGGAGAACCCCAGAAGAGCCCTGCTGGGTCAGACCAGTGAGGGTCCATCTAGTCCAGCCTCCTGTCTCACACAGCGGCCAGTCAGTTCCTCTTGAGGGCCAGCAACAGGTTACAGAGGCCGAGGCCTTCCCCTGGTGTGGCCTCCTGGCTCTGGGATCCAGAAGTTGACTGCCTCTGAACATGGAGGTTCCCTTTAGTCACCATGGCTAGTAGCCCTTAACAGACTTATCTTCCATGAATCTGTCTAATCCCCTTTTAAAGCTGTTTATTCCTGTGGCCATCACTATGTCCTCTGGCAGGGAATTCCGAACGCTGCTCACTCATTCCCTCGACGCTCCATTCCAGCCTTGGTTCCTTCCCCACCTCTCGGCAAAGCGCTAGAAAAGAGCCACAGTCCAGCAGCACCTTAAAGACTTAACAGAATTTGTGGCAGGGGAGGAGCTTTTGTGAATCGCCGCTCACTTCTTCCCCAAGCATGTCCACCTTACTCGAGGCTAGCCTTCACCTACCGCAAAGGGAGTGAATGTCTCTCTGTCAAAACGAGATAGTCTACTCGATTTCCGCAACGTGCTCACTGAAGCAAAAGGCCCAGCTACCGTCCTTGTCGATCCGGTTCCACTCAGCTCAGGCCGGGCAAACCATCCGCTTTAATTGGAAAATCCAGTTTTAACAGACAGCTCTCGCCCTGGCAGAATCCCGGTCCTCCGCTAAATGCCGAAGCCGCTCGTGATGAGCCAGTGCCGTGCAAAGGCTCTTGGGTACACAACACATGCAGAGCGTCGATGGCGACGAACTGCTGTACGTCAGGCGTTGCTCGTGTTCGTGTAGCCTGCTTAGCGTCCTAGAGAACGTGGCGAAGCGCACAGCTGAGGAGTTTGAAAAGAGAGGGATCCGGGCAAGGATCCCTTTCTTCCGTTGCTTGCTGCCGCTGGGTTTGCGGAAGGCATCGTGGCCGGCCCAGTGCCTGGCAACTGACGCTTGAAGGGCGTGCCAAGCCAAGCCTGCTGTTTTTTTCTCCCAGCAGTCTGGAAACTAGCAGGATTTGGGGTGTGTGTGTGGAATTGGTACCAGCAAGGTGGGCCCTTGTGGAGGAGGGGAGGGTTGGCCTGCTGCCTGTGTGCCATAGAGCACCCTTCACCCGGGTGGGAGGGCGGGAACCATGGCTCAGTGGTAGAATATCTGCTTGGTGTGCAGAAGGTCCCAGGTTCAGTCCCCCGGCATCTCCACTTAAAACGACCAGGGAGTAGACGATGTGAAAGACCTTCTCAGCCTGAAACCCTGGAGAGCAGCTGCCCATCTGACTAGATGAGACGGACCTTGACGGACTGATGCTCTCTAAGGTCTCTAGAAGAAGAGAAGAGATTGGATTGATACCCTGCCCTTCACTACCCAAAGGATTCTCAGAGGGGCTTCCACACTCCTTTCCCTTCCCCTCCCCACAACAGACACCCTGTGAGGCAGGTGGGGCTGAGAGAGCTCTGGTAGAACAGCTCTTATCAGAACTATGGCTTGCCCAAGGTCATCCAGCCAGGTGCAAGTGGAAGAGTGGGGGAATCAAACCCGGTTCGCCCATGTTACAGTCCACACACTTCACCACGATGCCAAACTCTAAGGCAGCTTCCTGGGCGTTTTCAAGTGGAGGCTGGACGACCATCTTTTGGGTATGTTGTAGGGCTATCTTTCGGCTGTCCTCCTGCAGAGTGCAGGGGGTTGGACTAGATGACCTGCAAGGTCCCAGTTCCAACTCTTAACATTCTATGATTCCTGTGTCCACCCCCTGCCCACCCTTGTGCGATCCGGGTTCTTCTTCCCCATGCCCTCCCTGCAGGGCTCCCGGGTCTTGAGAGAGGACCAGGGGTCCTGCAGTTGCTTGAAAGTGCCGGCTGGCCATGGTGGGGAGGGGAAGGTGTCTCGCCTGGCAGGCTTCTCGCTCAGAGACCAGTCCAGATGGCTTCCCTCCTCAGCGAGAACTGTTTGGACTCACACGGAGGGAAATCCAACCCGGGTCCTTGATCATATCTCGGGTATAGTCATCTTGCTGACATCTCCAGCTCAGCACTTTGCAAAGCAGAGCAGCTCAGCTTTCTGGCGTGTGCGTAACTGGATCGGAGGCAGAAATCACACTCTCTTTCTTCATGTGGCCGTGCGGGAGGTTGTTTTCCGTCCAGTCCAGAGGCTTGACGTGCTGGAATGCATTTCTGGACAACCCCCGTCCTAGCGGAAGTCTTTGCCTTAGCAGGGATGTTTGACTCGAGGGCTTCTTCTCTGCCGTTCGGCCGCAGGAAGGAAACCACTTTCCCTGCCAGTGTTCCATTTTGGGCTCGATTACCATGTGGTTTCCAAGCAGGAAGCAAAAGAGTTCGCTTTGGGTCTTGAAAATGTAAATGCAAAACACGTCCAATGCAAATCTGCCTGGCACAGCGTAAAACTTCCTCCCGAGAGATGTGCAGATGCTAATTTCAGGTTTCCAGTCTCGGAGGCTTAACTTTTTTTCAAGTTCCAAATCACCGTTTTGTGCGAGAAGGCCAACTCCTCCAGTCCTGTTTGCCTGGCGTCCATTTGCCTCGGCACCGGTCTCGAGTGGCGCAAACGTTGTGCTCTTTGCATCCCTTTGGGATCCCTTCCAAGGATCCTTGGGGACAGCAGGATGGTCGCTTCCTCCATCTGGCAAAGACCTGCAGTGCTTGGCTGGTTTGGGCTACCCTCTTGGGTCCCCTTGATGGGCTTTGGAGTTGACCCCGCAGAGGAGAAGAAGAAGAAGAAGAAGAGATTGGCTTTATACCCCATGGCCCTTCACTACCCAAAGGTGTCTCAGAGCGGCTTACAAACTCCTTTCCCTTCCCCTCCCCACAACAGACAGACACCCGGTGAGGTCGGTAGGGCTGAGAGAGCTCTTGACAGAAACGGCTCTTTTTCAAGGACAGCTCTTATCAGAACTACGGCTTGCCCAAGGTCATCCAGCAGGTGCAAGTGGAGGAGTGGGGAATCAAACCCCGTTCTCCCAGATTAGAGTCCGCTCACTTAACCACGACACCAAACTGGCAGAGGAACCAGAGCTGCCGGCCGGCTGCAGGCGTTGGCTTTCCTGGGCTCAGAATCTAAAAACCCGCTGAGTGTCCGGTCTGCCGGCACCCTCGCTGAACCGATAGCTCCATCTGAAGCTGGTCGGAGGGGAGAGAGGGCACAGGCTGATTGGCATGAGCTGACTCAGCATGGGGGTACGAGGATATTCCCCTGCTAGGGCAGCAGCGGATTCAGCAGAAACGGCGTCTGGATACACCCATCCCCACTCCACCGTTCCTGCAGTCCCCCGTGCCTTCCCCTTGTCTAAACGGCATGACCTTGGGCAAGCCGTAGTTCTGACAAGAGCTGTCCTTGAAAAAGAGCCGTTTCTGTCAAGAGCTCTCTCAGCCCCACCTGCCTCACAGGGTGTCTGTTGTGGGGAGGGGGAGGGAAAGGAGTTTGGAAGCCCCTCTGAGACTCCTCTGGGTAGTGAAGGGCGGGGTATAAATCCAATCTCCTCTTCTTCTTCTTCTTCAGGGTAGTCCTCGAAAGAGCTCTCTCAGCCCCACCGACCTCACAGGATGTATCTGTTGTGGGAAGGTGAAGGGAAAGGAGTCTGTAAGCCGCTCTGAGACTCCCTTGGGTAGTGAAGGGCCATGGGGTATAAATCCAATCTCTTCTTCTTCTTCTTTCCCATCAGCTGGACATACGATGCCTGGTCCCTCTTGCCTTTCCTCAGAGGATTTGCTCTGAGACACCTTTGGGTAGTGAAGGGCAGGGTGTAAATCTTCTTCTTCTACCCTGAAAATCTTGCGGGTCTCTAAGATGCTGTGGGACTAAAATCTAGGTGTCCTGCTGCAGATCTGCCTTCCGGAACTTGGTGACAGCCAGAAAGGAACACAGTGCTCTAAAATGAGGACTTGCAGAGGGGCCGTGGCTCAGTGGCAGAGCCTCTGCTTGGCACGCAGGAGGTCCCAGGTTCAATCCCCGGTGGCATCTCCAGTTAAAAAAGACCAGGCAGCAGGATGATGTGAAAGACCTTTCTCTGCCTGAGACCCAGGAGAGCAGCTGCCGGTCTGAGTAGACCGTG